GTGTGTGTGTGTGTGTATTTGTGTGTGTGTGTGTGTGTGTGCGTGTGTGTGTGTGTGCGTGCGTGCGTGTGCGTGCGTGCGTGCGCGTGTGTGTGCGTGTGCGTGTGTGCGTGTGCGTGTGCGTGTGCGTGCGTTTATATGTATATATTATATGTATATTATATGTATATGAGTATATTGCAATCGTATGCAATGGTTGTTTCTAACTTCATCATATTTTTATTAGGTTGCTGTTATATGCACTGTTTGCACCGGCCCCTGACAAATCCGATGATTGTCAAGCACAAATAAACACCCTACTGTTGCATTCCAATAGCTTTAGTACATCAGTTATTAAAATATTATCAAATTAAATTATTAGTTCATTCTATTATTAAATGCAGGCTTGCAACTTAGAAGTTTTGTATGGTAGAAACGTGGTGAATACTATTTTGGTGAAAAATGACACGTCTTTATAGGGTCATAGGTATGTCTTTGCTAGCTGGTAAACAATCTGATAATCATTCTGCATTTCACGTTAGTAAATCATCAACAGAATATGGTAATAATCATACAAAATAACACGTATAACAAAAAAGAATAACAAATTCTCACGAATAAACAAAAACTTGCTATGAAAAAATAAACGAAAATGTCCATGAATAAACAATAAATCAGAAGAATTCATAAACAGCAATTTTATACACGCAGGGGCAAGCTCAGCCACATCCACGTACGGAGTGGGGTCATCATAGAAATAATATAGATAACTTGATATGGTTATCTATATTATTTCTATGGGGTTCACACGTCGCCACACTTTCTAACCGGGAGCTCCAGGGAGCTTTTATTCTTTTATATCTCGCTGTTTTGTTCCATCTTTTATTATATTTTATTTATTTTTTATTTATTTTTTATTCTTATCTTTTATTATCGTTGTTGTTATTCTCCTGATAGCTGTCGGAACGCGAGGAAAGGTAAAGTGGCGCCATCTATAGGCATCGTGGCCTTACTTTCCTCGGCTGTGCAGAAGCCCGAAGCTCCGTCTCGGAAGCAGCGATACCCAATACTGACGTCTTCAGCATGTTTCATAGAAAAATTCAAAAATTCATATCATTTCTGACAAACAATGTACACCTTTCCAACTCTTTGTCATTTGAAGAAAGGTCTGATTGTCGTTTATCGACTGCGATGTGTAACAATCACACGTACGTATCACAATTACATCAATTACCTTGGGTTGATCAATTAATCAATTGATTAATCAATTAATCACCAGAAACGAGTGTTTGATTATTATGATCATGATTAATCATATCTGTGTATTCTCGATAGTTATCTTATTAAATAGATATCGAACATTGTGTCCGTTTTTACAATCGCTGGGATGTATTAAGATTGCCTTTGTTCTGGCCTACTGTATGAGCTGTATATTTCGCGGTGGTTTAATTTTCGCGAATTTCGCGAACGCGTTCCTGACGCGAAAATAACAACACGCGAATAATTCATACGAAATAATTCATAATTCACCGACCGCAAAATTAACCACTAGCGAAGTCTGAATTCGCGAAAACATCTGTACGCGAAAAATATGGCGTATACAGCATTTAAAACATTTTCGAAGTTGCTCGTGTTGTAGAAGCGTGGCAGCGAAGAAAAGAGTGGCAGTCATTCGAACCGCTCGAGGAAGCTGGCTAGCAGATCTCCCGTGGTCGCTCAGCTAGACGTAACGGAGAGTGACGAGGAAACCTTCTACCATACACTCCGCCGCAGAGCCGACCGCAGCTGATGCGGCTGCAGCACACAGACCTACCTGTCACGTTCAGTAATGTATCTGATGTTTATGTTTTCTACTACCACCAGGTGTCAGTAGTAGTACCACCACAGTCATAATGTAATGCAACGCAGAATGAATATTGTCAACTTTATCCTCAATCATCTGCTTATCTATTCACCATAACCATCACCAGATGCGTGTTGAACAGCGCGAACGCTCGCGTGCGCTTGCCTTCTGAACGACACCGCACGGTCGAGCGCTCGCGAGCGCGCGCGATCAGGCTCCCGATGCTGTTCGCGCAGCGCGCGAGTTGTTTTCAAGATGGCGACGGGCAATCTGGTGAATGCGAATCTAACACTCCTGACTTCAATTTCACTCTGTTTCAACTTCATTTTATTTTTTAATCATTCATTCACTTCTGAATTTATTTCATATCAATTTCGTCTGCTACTTCGTTTAACAGTATTTGTTCGAAGACCATTAAAATCTCTCGATGAAATCTGCTGAGGAAGTCGCCATCTTGGATAAAGCGAGCGCTCGGTGCATAGCTCGGTGTCGTTCAAGTGGCGCTGCGTTTGTGCTGAGAGCGTTCGCCCTGTTGAACACGCCTTAGAAAATGCTACACTACGCCTCCCCCCAAGCGCGATGTGCCACATAAGTACGTCAAGCACGTATGTCACTCGCCAACCGCCGCTCTTCTGTCATGGTCACCTCAGCGCAGCTACAACGTAAGGGCAAAGATCAAGCAGACAGTGAGTACGTACGTTCGCTTGGCTTTGTTATGTTTTTATTTTGAGTTACATATGCACTTCTAGTGCATACCTATGAAGAACTCACGCAGGAAATGTTTATTTTCATTAAAGAGGGGAGATGTTATGAGATATGACCGCCAGATGTCGCGCCGAGAACAACGTGTGTGTCGCGTGGTATGCACGCATGGTGTGGATGCATTCCAGTTATTCAAAAAAGATATCTGCGTTGACTATGCACATGTTTGAGCATTAAACATAGCGGGCTTCTTCCCTATAAGTATAGGGCGTAGTGTCCTTTCAGTCTATGGTTGGACTGCATATACATTCTATAGTATATATATATATACCCTATTAATGGGTACATTATGACAAGTGGGTCGTCTGAACAGCGGGTCATTAATTATGGTGTGTGGTATATTTTTTGGTGGTGTGTGGTAGCAGGAGCACATCAAATGTGATTCTGGTGGTAATAAGTAGGCCTACTTTCCGACTTGCATACATTTCATGGTAAAATAGTTATGTTTTATTTTTATTTTTTTAAATATTCAGAACCCAACTAAGCCTTTAGAGTTTTTTACAGAGCAAAATGATTTGCAAACCTTTAACATTAATTTTGTACTCGTGGTTATTAAATCGCGCCAATTCACCAAGGCATCATACCGATAATCTACACATTTCTATATAAACTGAATACAGAATAGTGTTACTACATATACTCGATTTTACATTGCAATGAAATACGTCTGCCAACACGTGCAACAATTAGAACATAGATCTACCAAGTATTGATAATATCTTCTGGGTTATCGCATCTCCGATCCTACATGGGCTTCCTCGGTTAACACGCTTAGTGTCGCCTACGTTGGTCTAGCGTGTGCCCTGACAAACTGTATGAGACTCGGAGGCAGCCTGTTCTCGTATGCAACGCTGTGTCTGACGATAACGCGCGCGCAGGGGCACTTCAGCGAATGATACTGCGCGCTCATTCTGCCATGTATCTCGTCGCTCGACTCCACGTTGCCGCGGAAACGCGTCGGGTAAATCCGGCGCTAGAGTTTGTACGGCGTCTCTCCCCGTGCGTTCGTGGTTCCCTGTCGACGTGTGCGCCGTGGTTAAACAGCAGCGCGTGCACTATCTGCACGCATCCCTCCCTCTCTCGCGCGTAAACATCGTCTTTGCATGCGAGGATCGCCCTACAGAAGCTGTGCAGCGGGGTGTCGCCCTTGCTGTCGCGTATGTTAACCTGTAGAAGTACGCCGGCGGACACGTCTGTAGGAGAGCTGACGCCGCTTGTACCACTGACTCCGCTTGTTCTGCTGGTGCTGCGGGTGCTCCTCGCTCACTCATTCTGGGGCTTCTCACCTCCGCCTTGCTGCCTATTATAGCGAGCGGTGTCCTCTTGTTACAATCGACGAGGTTCGGGTCAGCTCCGTGTTTCAAGAGGTGAGTAATCATCTGTGTGAACGAAAGAAACGAGGATCATTAACAACCCGATTTTAGGTTCGTTCCTTAAAGAACAAGTTTATCAGAGCATACTACTTTTATTACTGTTGCCGATTACTAACTATTACTATTATTAAATTATTAACTATTCACCGATTACTATTACTGATTACCTTTATTATCTAGACAAAAATACATTGGAACATCGCTAAAATTGGCTCCGTCGTTCACAACGTACGCCCACATTTTTTCTCGTTCCCGAGTAGATTGCAGGAGTAGTGTAATGCGGTGAAACTAATTACACTAATCTATTATTAACTCTTAACCAATTAGTATTACCTTTACCATCTATAAGAAAATACATTAGGACATTGCTAAAATTCGGTCTCAATCATTCGCAACGTACGCCCGTAGTTTTACCTCGGTTCGAAGTCGATCACAGGTGTAGTGTAACGCGGTGAAACTCCCCCTTTCTTCCGTCGCGGCGACGTTGGCGTCGGCGCCGGCCTCCAGTAGCATGCGCATGATGTCCAGCCAGACAGAGCGAGCCGCGATGTGCAAGGAGGTCACTCCGTACGAGTCCGCGGCGTTGGTGTCGGCGCCGGCCTCCAGTAGCAGGCGCATGATGTCCAGCCTGCCATAGCAAGCCGCCTGGTACATGGTGGTCTGTCCGTACGAGTCCGTGGCGTTGGCGTCGGCGCCGTGTGAGAACAGCATCCGCACCGCCGCCTCCTCGCGGGTCAACACCGCCATCATCAGCGGCGTCTCTCCACTCTTCGTCTCGGCGACGTTGGGGTCGGCATCGGCCTCCAGTAGCAGGCGCATGATGTCCAGCCGGCCAGAGCGAGTCGCCATGTGCAGGGAGGTCTGTCCGTACGAGCCCACGGCGTTGGGGTCGGCGCCGGCCTCCAGTAGCAGGCGAATGATCTCCAGCTGGTCAGAGCAAGCCGGCGACAGGACCCGCGCGTTCCCGCCGGCCATGGCACAAATAACCAGTCTATGCTCCAAGTAAAAATTATAATTAAAAACTGCTTATACTTCTAGCCATTTCATTCACATTTTCATGTTAATAGCTATCGTAATTATAATAACAGTTTATCGTTTGCTCCATAACCATGTAGCCCTAGCAAACACTCACTATACTGTGTAGCAAACCTCCCGTTTTCACAGACGACTTGTAAGGAGAGGTCATATTTGAATAATTGATGTTCCTAAGGCTCATAGGGTCTATGTTCCCCAGGGTACTGCCGGAACGTACCCTGGTCACTATTTGATATGGTTAGGGTTAGGATTAGGGTTATGGTTAGGGTTAGGGTTCGGGTTTGGGTTTGGGTTAGGGTTAGGGTTAGGCAGTAGGCGTAGGCGACTCCCTAGACTCGTTAGTGGAGTAGGCGAGGTACGGTCCGGCATATTAGATAGTACCAGGGGTACGTTCCGGTATACCGGACCGTACCCAGGGTACGTTCCGGCAGTACCCCGGGCCCGGGGGACATAGACCCTCTCAGCGTTACTAAGTGATAATATTCTACGAATGAAATTGTATTCTATTCTATTTCTATGAGCCTACCTAGCCATCGTTGGAGAGAACGATAAGATAGGATCTCTTAAACTGTTACACATGTTAACTTTAGTAGGCTTGTTTGGCACTAGTGTAGAGATTTCAGGGGGGATGACATCATACAACCAGAGACCAGTTCAACAGCAACAGAGATAGAAAGTTCCCCTAGCGACAGGTAGAAAGTTTTCCCTGACGACACATACAAGCGCGGGGGAGGGGGTCCCATAGCTACCAGGTGTGGGAGGTAAGGGAGTTGCGCCACCACGTACACGCACGGGGCGAGGGAGTTGCACCGGCCGAGCACGTGGCGGACATGGGGGGGTGCGACGCTCGGAGATATACTGGACCAAGGGAGTTGCATCACCCGTGCACGTCAGGGTCCTAGTCATCTGATTCGGATTTCGGCGAAAATACCTGATTTTCACCGCTCATTATCTCAGCGTAGGGGCATCGTAGGGACAAGCGGTTTGTTTAATATTAGCAAGGTAGGACAGCTGATCAATAATACCGCAATGAATCGTCGAAATAAAACGGGGATATACGGACTTTATACGGTCTTGATACATACATACATAGATAAATAGATAGATAGATAGATAAAAAGATAGATGGATAGATGGATAGATAGATAGATAGATAGATAGATAGATAGACAGATAGATAGATAGATAGATAGATAGATAGATAGATAGATAGATAGATAGATAGATAGATAGATAGATAGATAGATAGACAGATAGATAGATAGATAGATAGATAGATAGATAGATAGATAAATAGATAGATAGATAGATAGATAGATCGATAGATAACCTATAAACTGCTTTCGCTTCTTGATCCGTGAAACGTGTGTGTGTATAGGTGCGAAGGTGACCCCAATACCACAGCGCTGGAGCGATACGCACGAGTTGGTCAGGGTCGTGAGTACGCGTGGAATTTATTAGCGGCAGACACCATACGTCAATAGTGGTTCCCCGTGTTTAACAGGTGCAAGGTTAGCCAGCCACAAGTTACCTTATCGCTTCTCACTTTGCGTGGCGAGAAGGTAAACCGTGAAACTATACGTGAACCAAAACAGAGTCGTAGAGTCTGGTCCGGCTAGTCCAACGTGTGCTTCGGACCGGGCTAAACATTGTTTAGCAAGATTTTAACCATTGGCAAGCGTGCAATTACGTTATAAACATGGCGGACGGACCGCGATCGATCTCCGACGTGAATGCGATGGACTACGAAAAGTTTATTCGCGTGTTCGGGAACTGTGTAGAACGCGGTGCGTACATAGCAGCTGCTATATACGAGAACAGGCCTTACAGAACCGCAGCACACCTACACGCTGCCTTCTGCCAGTTCTTAGACGGCCAACCTGCTCCACGTAAGTATGTATATACTAATCAATATATAGATCGACATATTATCTATCTTATTAGACTTCGTGAGTCTTGTGAAATTGAGATAATGTTTCTTGTGAGATACTTGGACAAGTCAGCCCAATGTAGGTATATAAGTACTGATTTATATAGGTATAGTTATAGTGCGATTTTTAGACAGTCAGCCCAATGTATGTAAGTACTAATTTATATATGTTTGAGATTATTTACTCCTGCATGATATATATTTGTGTGAGTGCGCGCGTGCATGTGTGTGCGCGCGTCCGTGCGTGCGTGGGTGTCCGCGTGTCCGTGCGTACGTGGGTTTGCGCGCGTCCGTGCGTACGTGGGTTTGCGCTCGTCCGTGCGTTTGTTGGTGTCCGCACGTCCGTGCGTGCGTGGGTGTGCGCGCGTTCGTGCGTGCGTGGGTGTGCGCGCTAGACTCAACTGAGTGTGGACTCTATGCATGCGCACTCACAGGCACACCGAGATGTTAGCTGCATGAGTGATGTAGGTACGCGTGTACCATGGAACGAGTGTGTAAAGTGTGATATAAACTGTATAAAGTGTGTATATAACTGGCTGCAGGGCAGGCTATTCGCGATAACAAATTGCGTATAGCGAGCAGAACTGGTTTCTGTGTTATATTAGGAATGTCCGAATGAGCGCGTTGTTAAGCAAGTGAATGTCAATATTACCTCCGCCAAGGACGTTGTTTTCGCACCTGTTCGTTTGTTTGTTGGTTGGCTTGTTGGTTTGTTTGTCTGTCAACAGGATATCTCAAAAAGTTACGGACGAATTTTGATGAATTGTTTTGGACGGGTTGGTCTTGGGCCAACAACCAGTGGACTAGATTTTGGTTGTGCTCCGGATCCAGATCTTGTACATTAACGATACAGGTTCTGTATAGATATAGGGGAAAGTAGGTGCGAATGAAGCATATAGCTAGCACAGTTACAGAAGGTTTTGTGCATTTAATTTTAATTGCAATATAAAGCATATATAATAATAACATACTTTTATTACTATATATATTATAATCATATAATAGATAATTGCATTTAATAAGGTTTAATTCGTGCATTTGTATGCTTTATCTGTCGATCACATACATATTAAGTGTTATCTTAGCGTTAACATTGGTAATATAATAGTAGCAGCAGCAAAAACACTAACTTTTTCATCGACATGAGAACAGAAGAGAAAATAAAATGAATGATTTTAGTATATACATACCAGTATTTCTCTCCTGGTCTATCCTTCTCTTCTCTTCTCGTCTCTTCTATTCTCCTCTCCTCTCTTCTATTCTCCTCTCCTCTCGTCTCTCATCTCCTCTCCTTCCGTCCCCTATCTTCTCTTCTCTTCTATTCTCCTCTCCTATCTTCTCTTTCTGGTTTTCTGGTTGGTACATACAAGTTGGTAACGATGTGATGTGCACTCTACTGAGAAATATCGAAATATAACATCTATATATAGGTAAGTGAATGCAGTTATTATAACTCTGTGTACTGTGTACGTTATCAACTTCAGATTACTGATTGGTTTTGCTCTATGGTAAGATTTCAGCCTGACGCAGCAAAATACCACTAAATGGGCGCGCTTGTACACATAAGCAGAAATGCAAGAGTTGTTAAATAATCAATGTTCAAATGTCGCTTTGCTTTTCCATTCAGCGAGACAAAAAGAATAATTTTTATTTGCAAGCGTGCCGCGCCGCGGAAACGTGTTTCTATACATGTAGGCTTATAAATTTCGCATTTCTTTTTGCGAAACATCTCTTATCTATCTCGCCACTTGGTGAAATAACAGCTTATACGTAGTCACGCCATCCACGCACGCACGCACGCACGTACGCACGCACGCAAGCACGCACGCACGCACACTTGCACCTCCGCACGCACGCACGCACATTCACGTATGCCCGAACGCATGTCGGCACGTTTGCAGGCACGCACGCACGCATAGTTGCACCTACCCGCGCACGCTGGCATATTCACGCATGCCCGAACGCATGTAGGGACGCATGTAGGCACGCACACACACTTGCACCTCCGCGCGCACGCAAGCACATTCACGCATGCCCGAACGGATGTCGGCACGCATGTAGGCACGCACACACACTTGCACCTCCGCGCGCACGCAAGCACATTCACGCATGCCCGAACGGATGTCGGCACGCATGTAGGCACGCACACACACTTGCACCTCCGCGCGCACGCAAGCACATTCACGCATGCCCGAACGGATGTCGGCACGCATGTAGGCACGCACACACACTTGCACCTCCGCGCGCACGCAAGCACAT